CGTCACCTGCGGCTTCCTGAGCGCGAGGCCCGGGCTGAGTCATGCGGGGTCACGATGCTCCCGGAAGTGGCCTTGATGGGAGGGAGGGTGACGAGCCAAGCGGGGGCCCTTCGCCGAGGGAGGGGGGGTGAGGCAGAACCGCACCCCAACACCCCGACCCAGGGCCGCCGGCCCCCCAGGGATGGCCTCCTGCCCAAGCCCCCCGCCCCGCCCCCCCCTCCCGGGGCCGCACAGGAGGGGGCGGCGGGCACGAGGCGGCCGGGGACGGATGGGGGGGCTGAGGCGCCCGCGGTCCCCGGCTGGCAGCGGCTCCGATCCACCCGCGGCCGCAGGGCGCGGAGGGCAGCGGGCGGAGCCGCTGGAAAGTGCTGGTGCCAGACGGGGTGCCCGCGCCCCGGGTGCGCTGAGGCCCACGCCCCTGCTGCGCCAGCCGTGCTGTTTGCCTGCAGTTGACTTCGGGGTTTGGAGCAAAGGCCTCCGGCCACCCTGCGGGGACGGAGCCCCGCTCACCCCCGGGGCCGCACCCCCGCACCCACGCGCCTGCTCTCCGAAGAACGCAGTTCTCCGAGGCTCCACTAGGTGGCGCCGCAAAACCGCCGAGGTTTGGTTGGGTTTTTACACTTTGTGCACCTGGAATAAAATAGTCCAATAAAAATATAGACACGTGTGTAATTTTACATGAAATGGGCGAAGTTAATTTTAACAATATGTCTTACTTATCTGGGCAGAACAAAATCTGCCTTAAGGAAAAAAAAGAAAGAATATCTTGTTTAATCCAATAGAGCCAAAACTTATCACTTCCACATGTGATCAATATAAGGAATTACTGGTGAGATACTTTCCTTTTTTCTGTAAGTCCTCAAACTCCTGTGTCTATGTTACACTTACAGCACGTGTCAATTCACTCACTAAATTTTTATCAGATATGATTGTACTTAAATTTCATAAAATGTATCATCCCTAATGGACACTCATTTGCCTAAGTTTTTACAAACATACTTAGAGGTTTTCAGTAACTGAACTATCATTAACATTAAAAAAAATTTAATGTCTATTTATTTTTAAGAGAGAGAGAAACAGAGTGCAAGCAGGGGAGGAGCAGAGAGAGGGAGACCCAGAATCCGAAGCAGCTCCAGGCCCCGAGCTGTCAGCACAGAGCCCGATGCAGGGCTCGAACCCCTGAACTGTGAGATCACGACCTGAGTCGAAGTCGGGTGCTTAACCGACTGCGCCACCCAGGCACCCCCGTCATTAAAATTTATAAATCTGACTTAATTGAAGTCAGATTAAAGCACTCTGTGGCTGCTGAATGGGACTGGGGTTTCAAGAGCCATGTTGCCAGCCCCTGCCTGCAGGCAGCCCACCCGGGTTAACAGCCATGAGGTGATACTATCCACGTTCCAAGGGGTGAGCAAGGACTCGGAGGCCCCACAAGCTGGGCCACCAGGTGGACCCGGCTGCTCTAGGAGACCCACTCTGATGGGGTGCAGAGGCCCTGACAAGTCCTGCAGAAAGGGCCCCAGGAGCCCAGAGTTCTGCTCTTCTCTCTTCATCCCTGCGTCTGTGGAGGCCCCTCGCCCCCACCCCGGGCCTCTGCCCCCAGGCAAGGGAAGTGGCACCCCCAGGGGCCGGAACCCACAAGGACCTGGACTCTCCCCAGAGCCTCCGGAAGGAGCGCCCCGTGGACGCCTGCAGCCCAGTGAGGCCCAGGGTGGACTTCGGCCCTGGGACTCTGACGGTGAGTGTGTGTCGTTTTCAGCCCTGGGCTCACGGTGGTTTGTCACAGCGGCAACAGGAGGCTCCCGTGGCCTTTGAGGGAAGAAGTGTGCGTGTTGAGCAGGGGGAGGTCCCTGAGAACGTGGAGGGTTTGAAGCAGGAAGAGATACAGTCTAATTGGTGTCTCTTAACTGTGAGCACCAGCTGGGAGGTGGCCCCAGGGACCTTGCGGGGGGCTCACACGGCCCCTGCACCTGGTGGCACAGCCTTCTTCCCACTCCCTGCAGCGCAGCTGGGCCCCCATCTTACAGATGGGCAAACCGAGGCCCGGAGCGCTGCCTGTGTGCTGGCCTTCCTGGTGGGCGCTGGACGGCAGAGTGGCGCAGACGGGTGCCTGCAGGCATACTCAGGCGCCACGTGTGCCTTTGGCCGTGGGCTTTCTCTTTCAGTATCAAACTTGGCCTCGAAGCCCCTCGCTCGGGGGCCCTGTCAGGTTGCTGGGTTGTCCGCAGCTCCGCTCGTCAAGTTCACGTGCTGCGTCCAGGGCTGAGCTGTGCATGACTCCTCTGTGGCTTCTCCTCAGGAGCATTTGGAGCCTTCCCTGGCACTGACAGAGGGTAACTGTGTGCCGGTATGACGCCCACGTGGGCGCGACAAACACGCCAGCCAGCGAGGGCGAGGCGAGCGTCCGGACCGGCGGTTTCCACAGGCACGGGTGGCGGCACCGGCGCGGGGTGGCGAGCGCGGTCCGTGCTGGGCCCACCCCTCCCGGGACTTGCTGCCTCTCCTGGGCTGCGTGTGTTTTCTGTTCTAATGCTTTAGCTCCTGTTTAAGCTGCTGTAGGTATTTACCTGACTTTCAGGTACTTTAAAAAGGAAGTTTACCCAGGGAGGGCTGGGCAGGGATGTGGCTCCTGGCCACGTTTTGGTCATGTCAGGCCATCACTGGGGCTTCCCGTGCTTTCTGGAAGGAGGCCACTTATCTCCAAATACATGGCTTTGAGTCTGCACCTCACCAAGGACCGAGTTTCTCTTGCACAACTGGCTTGTGTCCGTGATCACAGTCTGGGACACAGCTTTCCTAGCCGCCCGAGAATCCAGAAACTGGTTCTAATAAAGACTGCCAGGTGGGGCTCCCGGCTGGCTCAGTCGGTGGAACATGCGACTCTTGATATCGAGGTTGTGAGTTCAAGCCCCACGCTGGGCGTGGAGCCTACTTAATTAAAGAAACAATTATAAAGGTTCCCGGGAGTCAGTGTTTCTCCTCACAGGCTGGGACCAACCTGGGAAATTCCTCTGTCAGACTGCCCAGGGCAGAAACTTCCCGTGCTTCCTGGCCTGGTAATTTTCCAGAGCTGCAACTTTCCTGTCCAGGGGCAGGAAGGGCATTCAGTAGCTGACAACCCAACCAGAAGTCACAACCGCCCAGAGTGGGATCCGGGACGTGACTCAGCAGCGCAAGGGAAGCCGGCGAGCAGGGGCAGAGGCAGCTCTTGACGGGAGGGGGGGGAGCGGATGCCAGCTGCTGGGGGGGGGCGCCTCTAGAGCCGTGGCAGGTGGCCCGCGGGGAGGTCTGACTGTCCCCCGCTGTCAGACCACGTGCATCTCTGGCCACACGTGAGCGTCACTGACCAGGTGCAGAACATTCCAGGGAGCCCGCTGTATGGGTGGCAGGGGCTCTGCCCCACTTCCCCCAAATGAACTCTGAACCAGAGCCGGACTATGCCGCACCGAGTGAGGGGGTCCTCTTCCGGGCCAGGCACAAGGCAGGAGGTCACCGCCCGCCCGCCTGGGGCCCACGTGGAGAGTGACGGGGACGCGGCGGTCTCCAGTTCAGCTAGGAGACCCCCGGACTCTGTGCGGCTCCTGCGCTCCTGCCCCACGGCCTCTGCCAGTGACGAGCTCAGCCTCCGCCCTGCACCCAGAGGCCTGTCCGATCGGGCCCCTGCCCGCTGCTCCCCCGGATGCGGGTGCGGCCGCAGCAGCGCCCTTGAGCGAGCCTCCTCTTCTAAAACGCTCTGGGAAACTTTGCATTTGGATATTTTTTAGGGAAGTTCTTTATTATTATCCAAGAATGTCACTAACAAAAAAGGGAAATGCCCGTCCATACCACAGTACTTCCGGTTTCACCAGAAAGACCAGACTGTGCTGCTACTGGAGCGTGGCCGGCGCGGCGGGCCCTTCACTGCAGGGGGCCCACCCTCCGCACAGGGCTGCCCGGGGCGCACGCGGTCAGCGGCGCGGGCACATGTTTTGGAAGCACCCATGTAGGCGCCCGGCTCTTACTTCCTCCCCAGAAATGAGGTCAGCGAACACTCAGTGCAAATCCCCACCTTCTGAGCTCAGTTGTCATCATGAGCCCTCCTCCCACTTGCAGGCAAAACCGCCCACGGCGCAGAGCAGGGCGCAGAGAGTGGCTAGCGGTGCCCAGCGCCTGCGCGCCCGGAGCCCGGAGCCCGGCCGGCCGCGGTCGGGGACCAGCGCAGGGCAGGCCGGTCACTGGGGGGCAGCGCCTGGGACCAGCGGGCACTTCTGCTCCGCCATGCACAATGGAATGCCCCTGTTGTGATCCTTCGGTTTAGAGCTTAATGTTGTCCTAACCGAAGACAGAACAAAACGCGACAGCGGAAAGCCAGCCTGGGCGGGCCACCTCGCCGTCCGCCCGGCCGCAGCCCAGGAAGAAAGCTGCTGGAACGCATTTCCTCGTGGGGCTGGTCCCACCGAGGGTGCGGTCGGGACCGGAGAGGGTGCCCAGGAAGGAGGAGGCCGGCCACCCCGCTGTAACCAGGCGTGCGTGGGGCCGAGGGCAACCCAGCCTCCAGACACGTGATCGTGAAGTGGGATGTCAGAAGAGACTAGAAAGACATGCCCCTCCTCTCTCCATGTCCCAGACACCCCCTCCTTCCCAGTCTCCTGCCTGCAAACCCCAAAAAAGGGCCCTGCTCTTGGTCTCGGTAAATACCACCTGTCACAGATAACACCCCATTTTCCACCTCCAGCCTGACTCTCCCCAAAGCCCAGAGCTGCGTGCCCAGCTGCTGACCTATAGTCACCATCACCACCGTCACCACCGTCATCACCGTCACCACCATCATCCCCATCACCACCATCACCACCATCCGCATCATCCCCATCACCGTCATTACCATAGTTTGCCTAGAAAGTGAGGGAGCATCTCCCTATACGTGGGACCCAGGAGGCTGAGTCACCCCAGACAGTTTCTGTCACTGTGAGGGAGACCTGGACGGAAGGAAATTCACATCTCCCAGCCATGTGGAGACATAGTTAATGGAGGTTCTAAGGAAAATCTTTATTAACATTCTTGGTGTTTTTCCATTTCCCTGATCTAAGGCAACTGGCTGTGAGTCACCCATCGCTAGAGGTTGAGTTAAGCAGGCCTAGCAGCCCCAACCTCACTCGGCCAAGTGTGAAACCCGCCATCTGCCCCCCCCCCCCCACCGTGCAGCTGCCCCACATCCCACTGAGCAGCCCACTGCACAGACACGCACATCTTGTCTGCCACTCCTCTGCTGATGCACGTTTGGGTGGCTGCCACCTGTTGGCGGTTGTGAACAATGCTGCTGTAAACATGGGTGTGCAAGGATCTCTCTGAGCCTCACTTTCAGGGGCTGTACCGAGAGGCGGGCTGGCCAGCACACGTGGGTCCATTTCTAGTTTTCTGCGGGACCGCCACGCTACTTCCACCGCGGCGACACCGTTTACATTCTCACCAGCAGTGCTTGGCGGTGCATTTTCCAGAAGCTCCTCGAAGCCGGGATGAGGGGGTTGCTCCACATGAGAAATGCTGACATGTGGCCTGAGAAACCGCGTCTGGGCAAAGATAGCCCCCGGGGCCTTTGGCCCCTGCAGGAGCCAGGTTCAATGTCACCTGCCGACAGGGAGAGAGGGTCCCCCGCGAGCCGGGGCCAAGGGTAAACCGGGACTCCACCTTGGCGGGGGAGGGGCTGACTTCCACACACTGGGAGCAGCATGGGGGAGGGGCTCGCCGTGAAGGGCCGGGCCCAGGGCGCCTGGTGGGCAGGCGTCACCCCTCGGCTGTCAGCACCAGGGCTGTGGCTCCCAGCGCCCCAGCCGACTTCCCATCTGAAAGCACGCTCTGTGTGGCCCGAGCTCGCTTGCCCACCTGGGCTGACCCCTCTCCCGGGAGTGGCACCTCTACCCAACCAGAAGCTGCCAGGGCCTCCTGTAGGGCACGGGGTAACGTGGGCACCTTCCCTGGGGTTCCCAGCCTGGGGTTCAGGGGGGAGGGGCGTCCTCCTGCGGGTGCAGAGGGACATAGTTGGAGCTGAGGCGGCAGGAACCCGCCTGAGGCTGTGCTCACGGGAGATGAGGAGGCCGGAGCTAGTGTGGACACGGGGCCTGGGCTCACGGGGCAGAGTCCAGGTGACCTGGGTGAGGAGCCAGGTGGAGGAAGAGCGGGGGGAGGAGGGAGGGGGGAGGAGGGAGGAGGGAGGACGGGGGAGGGGGAGGGGCAAGGAGGAGCCGCAGGCTGGAGGCGGGGCCAGAAGGAGGGAGCCAGCCCCTCTCCCGCGTGGGTGGCGGGTTGCCGTGAGCCTGGCCCGGCTCTGGACGGAGGTGAGTGGGAGGTGACTGAGGTGGTAATTGCTGGGTGCAGGCGGCCACCCAGGGAGCTGGCGCCAAGGCGAGGACGGAGCCCATCCTCAGGAGCGCGGACTCCTGGGCTCAGCCGGTCACCAAGTTCCCTTCTCCCCGCTGCTCCCAGGGGCCAGCCTGGGGGCACCTGGCTTCTGGGGGGCCTGGGCCCCCCTGTGCCTCTTAAGACAAAGGAATATATGACCAAGTCGGGGTGTCCAGGAAAAGTGTCACCTCCCCCTCCCCCTCCCCCTGCAGCCCCCTGTGCTGACAGCGGCCACCCTCCCCCACCTTCTGCTAAAACAGGCGCCGCGCACTGTGCAGGAGCGCGGCTGGGACCCGCCTTCGCGACACCGGCCTGGCTCGGGTGCGGATCTCCGTGTGCGGTTCTGTGCCTTCCAGGCCCGGTGGGGAGGCTCTGCCGGGCTGTTCCCCCAAAGCCTGGGGCAGGGGACCCCCACCAGTGCTGATGTCCCCTGGGCCAGCTCCGTCGGGGACACAGTCGCACAGGTGACTATGTGTACTGTCTGCATCAGCCGGCCTGGGGGACCGGCCCCAGCCACGTGTCCACACCGGCACGTGGCCGTCGGCAGGGGGACGGTCGTGAGGATGTGTCTACGTGGACGCGGTGTTGAGGCACGGCCACCTCCTGAGCTGCGCCTCCCCCACGACGTCACTGGCCAAGGCCAAGGGAAAACAAGAAAAATAAGGAAGAGCAGCCATGTCACGGAGAGACCTTCCTCCTTTAAACTCTTCCCGTGACCCCGCTGTCCTGTCACTTCGGCAGGTGAAATTCCTGAGACAAAGGAGGAGGCAGAGAGACAGACACGAATGAGACAAGGAGAGGCCGAGGGAGAGACAGAGACACAGGGACAGAGACGGAGATGGAGAGACACAGAGATGGAGACAGAGGCAGAGATAGAAAGACAGAGACAGAGATGGAGATCAAGATGGAGACAGAGACACAGAGACACGGAGATGAAGACAGAGACAGAGATGGAAAGACAGAGAGACAGAGATGAAGATAGAGGCAGAGAGATGGAGAGAGATAGAGATGGAGACATTGACGCAGAGATGGAGAGAGATAGAGATGGAAAGATAGAGATAAGAGACACAGAGAGCGACAGAGACACAGATGAGGGAGACAGAGACAGAGATGGAAAGATAGAGACAGACAGAGATGGAGACAGAGAGAGGAGAGATGGAGACAGACAGAGACAGTGAAACAAAGATGGAGAGAGATAGAGACATAGAGAGAGACAGAGATGGAGAGCAAATCATCGAGGGAGAAGAAAGCTTGGTCTGGAGGGAGGCAGGACCCGGGAGGGCAGATGGGGTCGTATGGAGGCTGTGGGATGTCCTGGCTGAGGGCTCCGGGTCTCCGGGAGCCCTGGAGGTGGGACGCTGGGGAGGGGCACGGATGTGACCGTGAACAGGGTGGGGACAAGCTGACTTTCTGAAATGCTGAGGTGCGCGGGGGGCTGTCTGCACCGGAGCCCAGAGCGGCCCTGGAATGACATCGGGGAGGCAGGCATTTCGCAAATACACGAGGATCCACCGGGGGACAGCGGGGGGGGGGGGACAGGGGTTCGTTTCTGAGCGGGTCCCTGGGGAAGACGAAGACACCGGGAGGGAGCCAAGGAGGAGGCCCCGGGCCGTGCCTGCGGTCAGGGGTCAGCGGAGAGGCCCCCATGGGCACCTCCCAGGGGGCGCGTGGGGAGGCCACTCGCGGGTCTTGGAAGTCAGAGCTCAGAGGACGCCGCTGTGGACACAGGTCTGGGGCCCGGGCCACGGTGAGCCTGCCTCACGGGCTGAGGGGACAGGAGCAGATGAGGGCATCAGGCGTGTAAGGGGGGGCGGGGTGGGTTCCCGGGAGGTGCCGGGATCCGCTGCAGGGAGGTGAGGGGTAGGGGCTGAGGTCAGTCTAGGCGGCGGGGCGAGGTCTGCACCGGAGGGTGAGGTGACCTCAGGGGGCCCGGGGGCAGGACGGAGGAGGCACCACCCAGGGAGGGGAGGGGTGAGGGAGGCAGGGGGCCTCGGAGGGCCTTGCTGAGCCCCCCACTTCCTGTGACGGGCAAGCCATCTGGGATCCGGAAATGAAGCCAGCTCTGCAAATGCCCTGCGGGCGTCCGTGTTCCTGGGTTGATAGAACATTCAGGCCTCTGGGCGAGCAGAACAGCGTTTCTACCCCGGGAAGGGGAAGGCGCCCAGCAGTTCTGCAGGACGCTGGCCACAGGCCACCGAGCCGTGGAGACTTTGCGAGAGATCTCCTCGCCACTGAGCGGGCTCCGGTGTTGGGGGAACTCACCCGAGCCCAGCCGGCCCCCGATCCCGCACGGCCCGGTCAGGGCAGGTCGGCAAGCTCGCAGGGTCCTGGTGGCCGCCAGGGCTCCAGGGAAGGAGTCTCCGGGACCAGAGGGCTCTCTCCTGACCCCTCCCCCAGGGCGTCCTTCCGGGGGAGGGGGGGCTCTGCCAGCAGCTCTCTGCTCACAGCCAGGGAGCCCGGGGAGGGCCTGGTCCCTCGGCGCCCCCAAGCCAGGCTCTGCAGGGCCACGCACCCCCTCAGGCAGAGTCCCAAAGTCTCAGTGCTCCCGCGAGGGTGTCCCCGGGCTCGAGGGCCTCCCTCACGGCCGCCTCCCTGTCTGCAGCGCGGCCTGGCTCCAGACTCAGTGTCCCGTCTCCTCGCAGAGCGCGGCCCCTCCTCTGTGCGGCTCCAGCCCTTCCCGCTGGCGCCCGCCCTGGCCCAGTGCACGCTGCCTGCCTGCGGCCGGGGGCTCCCCCAGCCGCCCCCAGAGCCCCGAGCCGCCTGCCAGCCTCGCGGAACCGCCGTGACAGCGGCGTCCCCTCGCTGCCGTCCCACCAGTCAGCCACCTCCTGGGAGGTGCTTCCTCTGGGAAAGGGGCTCCCAGGCCCCTGCAGCTTGTCTGCCGGGACGGAGCCATGTTGTCGGGATGGAGGTTGAGAAGGTCACGGGGCGGAGGGGGGAGCAGGGAAGAAGGTGGCCCGAGGACTCAGGCGTGGCTGACTGGCGTGGCTCAGCCAGACTGGGTGAGCAGAGCCACGGGGCTGGAAGGGCCCAGCTCAGGTAACCGTTCTGGGACCGCGACGAAGCCATGCCAAGCAGAGGGGACCCTGGGGCCGGCACCAGGCTGTGGATGGCCAGGATGCCTCCCACGGCGGGGAAGCTGAGACAGCCCGCTGGCGACTGTGTCTCAGGAACGCGTGTCTCTTCTTCCTCACCCCCAGTGCCTCACTTGCGGCCTGGGGTGTCAGATGCCGGATGGCCAGATTGCTGGAAGGTTCTGTAGGGAGCATGCGGCCTGGCAGGCACCAGGGTGAGGCCTATGCCCACGAACAACGACCTACAGGGCCCAGAGATGTGGCTTCCAGGAGCGGGGAGAGAGACCTGGTCCTTGAGGACTTCCCGGAGGAGGTGGGATAGAGGTGTCCATAGTCAGCAAAGAAGGGAACTTTCAGAAACAAGAACGCTGCAAGTGTGCGCACGGGGACGCGACGGCCCAGGCGGCGTTTGTGGTGCGGGGGGGTCCCGGCTGGAGCGGGAGGGCGGGCGGCAGGTCGGCCTGGGCAGGGGGCGTGAGACAGGACAGGGACACTGGACAAGGGAGGGCGGCCCACGCGCCCCACTGAGACGCAGAGGCCCCGCCCCCGTGTCCCCGCCCCAGTAGGGTCTTTCCCTTCCTGCGGCCTTCGGTTCCTTTTGTTGATTGTCCCGAGTAGCCGTGGCGGTCGCGAGGAGCCTAGGGGCAGGGGTGCCGCGGGCAGGGCCCTGCCCACCCAGGCCGCTGAGGCTTCCGACAAAATCAAACATGGAGAAATGCCCAAGCAGGCCCACAGATAACTGCTGACGATCTGAATGTTTGCTTTAACTGTTTTCAGCACAAAACGGCCTCCGTGCAGGATGACCTCGCCCGTCAAGGCTTCACACAGGACGGCGCTCCCTGGGCGGGCGTGAGGGCCGGCGGGGAGGCTGCACCCCCCCCCCCCCCCCCCGCCTCGGCAGATCTGCGAGGCTGAAATAACAACTCACCTAACGTGAGGTCATTCTGGAATGCGAGGTCTCTGCCGAATGCACCTTCTGACCCCACCCCCCGGCCGGCCGGCGGGGCAGGCGCGGGGCAGGCCTGGGTGCTTCCCGACGGCCTTCCTGCTGGCACAGACCCTTGCCTCTGCGGAAGCGAAGGCAGAAAGACCGCACAAGTGGATCCCCACGAAAGTCAAATGATCCTTCCAGGGAAACGCTGGGCGCCAAGGCCCTGGGTCTCGACGAGGGCTGGGCTCCGCAGCCCCGGGAGCCTGGCACCTGCTGTCCGGCGGCGGGGCCGCCAGCGCAGAGGGGGCTCCTCCCACTCCGTTGAGTCTGCCTTTTCTGGAACTCATGGTGCCCCAGGCGTCCTCAAGTGACATCCTCAGAGGGCACGGCCGTCTGCTCAGGCAGGAAAGTCTGGGCTCCTTTCTCCACCAGAAGCTAACGTCTAACACCAGCTTCTCTGAGCAGTGACTGGTTCATCGCTGGCTCCTAACAAGAACACGACGCCTCCTCTGCCTGCCTGTCCAGCGTCGGGGGCACTTCTGGTTTGACCGCTAACTTGTCCCAAGTCGTGGGGAGAGTTTCTCCCTCTGTCTTGGCCTCTCTTCTGATGGCAGGAGGAGATGCGCGGGTAAATCCAGCGGGCGGACATGGACAGGGGGTGTCGGCAGAAGCTTGCGCATCTCTGTTCTCTAGGGGCATTGAGAGACAGCCCACAGCCAGGGCTGACAGTGAAGATGTAAAGTGCCTGATGCAAGTCTCCTGGAGGGGCCCGGACACACGGCGGTGCGCCCCCCGCAGGACCACAGGGGAGCCTGTGCGACTTGGGTACTTTCTTTTCCTTCTAGTAACTTCCTCACCCTGCCCCCCAGAGAACTGACTGAGTTCAGAAGGTTCCAGGGCGCTTTATCAGGCTGACTTGTTCTCAAAGGCCACTGTGCGGAGTGACCTCTGCAAGGCCTCCTCCCTGCTCTCCTGACCCGTCCCCTGCAGGCCAAAGGACAGGGGTGGCTTCTGGAGAGCAGTCCCACGGCGCCAGTGGCCCGGAGTGTGGGCCAGCACTTTCGTCCCCCTGACACCTGCCCGCGGCACCACACTGCCCCCTGGGACAGGCCGCACAGGGCGTGGTGTCCAGCGCACAGCGCTCCCGGCCCCTCGAGGTACCAAGGCACTGGGTTAACATTTGAGAACCAAAGGCCTGAGTTTTGCATCGATGTGCCTGGAACGTCCACTCCTGATTTACCTTTCAAATTGCGCCTGTGGGCGAGTCCCGGAGGAGGGGCCCCGGCTGGGAGACTGTCCAACGTGACCCTGGGTTCGGTGGGGCCCACGGGGAGGGCCGTGAGCCCAGGCTCCCTGGGGCCAGTGCTTCCCTGAGGTGGACCAGGGTCACCGTGGCGGGTGGGTGACGGAGACAGAGCCTGGACAAGGGGGAGCGGAGCGAAAGTGAGTCACAGCCGGACGCAGCTTCTCTTCCCCTTCCTCACCCTGCCCTCTGGCCAATCCCGTCCAGGAGACGGGCTCCCCTCCGTCAGTGACAGCCGTCCTGGCACCCGTCTCACGCCAGCCCTTCTCCGAGCAAGAGGGCCCGCGGCCGGGGCTCAGCAGGCAGCCGTCCTGGCTGGGGTCTAACCCCCTCTCCGCGTCCTTTCAGCTGTGTTCATGCTCCGTGATAAAGACACGTTCACCTTTTTAAAAAGAAACTCACTCTTAGTGAAATGCATTAATTGTCCCAAGGAAAATCATCGCATATACAACAGTTTCAAGGGGTAGAATCCCAAATGAACTTGGAAACAGTCAGTCCAATCTGCTCCTGACATCTGAAATGCTTTCATGGCATCGGCCAGCCCTGTTCCCACACTTCCCAGGATGGGGAGCTCACTACCTATCAAAGGCATCTCTGGTCAGCTCTGCTGGGAAATGCGGCTCCCCGCAGACTCCACACGGAGGCCGGGTCTGCACAGCAGCGCAGCGCCCTTTCCTCAGGCAGGGGTCTCTGCAGACAGCATGCCCCCATCTCCCCACAGCCTCCTCTTCCAGGCAGACCAGCGAGGTTCCCCCACCAGTTCCTCACACTCTCAGAGAGAACGTCTCCACCTGGGAACCCAGGTGGTGGGTCTTCCTCTTAAAGGGCCGTGCCGGGAGTGGAGACCGATGCTCCAGGAGTGGCCAGACCTCGGCCCAGCTGGCAGGCACGGAGGCTGCGTGGAGACAAAGCCAAAACCAAGGACCCGGGGGCCGCTTCTGAAGGCAGAGCATTTCATAAATAACGGGCAAATGTGGACATGACCGTAAGGCCCAGCACCACCCCTCCGCGCTGTGGCTCTCCCCCCCGCTCCCTGCACACACAGGAAGAGGCCAGCACCCCTCCACTGCGGTTCCGCCCACCCCAAGCCCTGGTGCCCCCTCACCAGCCGAAGGTCAGGCTCGGTCATTTCTCCCTTACTCAGCCTCCCTCAGGATTTAAACACACACGGTTGTGAGTTTTGTAGGATAAAATAAATTCTCTTAAAATAAATTCGTTTTGTGGAAACTGGAAAGGTAAAAATTGTGTGACTGTCATCTGCAGTTACTACATGAGTTTGGCAACCCTGGGCGGGCCTCTGTGGACCAGCACCCCCGCCCCCACACACACACTGTGCGGAAGAGACCACGGCTCAGAGAGGCCAAGCCATGTGTTCAAGGCCACGCGGTGAAGAGCCGGGCAGAGATTCAAACAGGAACCCCCTTTCCACGGGGGTGGGTCTGGTGCCCTCACCCCTGACAGCGCTGAGGTCTACAGACGGATCATTTTACCAGAAGGATGCAGGCAGGAAACGGGGCTCGCCAGGCAAGGGTGCTGGCCTCCCCGTCTGCCAGGGCGAGCCCCCAGACCGGCACCCCCCCCCAACTCCTTGGGAGCGCAGGCCGCCGGGAGCCCCCCTTCCCCCACCCGGCCCCTGGAGGCCTTTCCGAAGAGTCGGGCGGGAAACCTCACTTCCTCCTCCACGGCCGCCACCGCCGCCTGGGTCCCACACGCGCAGGTTCAGCTCTGAGTCACACACGCGCGACCTGGGGCTTCACCGCTGCGCCCCAGGTTTCCGGCCCTCGGCCGCGGACGCCGGTCTGTCGCGCTTGGGGAGGGGTCGGCCGGCGCGCCGGGCAGGGACGCCCCGGGCCCGGGGCCGCAGGGGCGCGCCCCCGCCCCGCCCGGCCCCGCCCCGCCGCTCCCCATCGCGGGGGGCGGGCCCGGGACGCGGCGCGCCCATTGGCCGGGGTAGGCGGGGCCCGCGCCGCGCTCCGGGCGGGGGCGCGGACGGCGATGAATGGAGCGGGGCGCCGGCTGCGAGCGGCCGCCAGAGCGCGGAGCGCGGCGCGGCGGCCGGGCCTCGGGACGGTGAGTGCCCCCGGGGACGCGGGCGCGGGGCGCCGCCCGGGCCTGTGACGTCAGGAGCGCGGCAGGTGCCCGCTGACGCCGGGCTGGGGCCGGCGGGCTCGAGGCGGCGCGGGCGGGGCGGGACGCCGGGCACCGGCGGCGCACCCCGCGGCCCGCCTGCCTCCGGGAAGTCCGAGGCAAACGCACCCCGTGGCTGCCAGCTGCCCAGGCGGGCAGCCTCGGGGGTGGAGCGGAGGGCGACGGGCCGGGGAGGCCAGGGAGGGCGCGGCCGGGCTGGAGGCCGGGGCAGGTGGCTGCGCGCGCGCGCGGGTCCCGGACGGACGCGCCTCCCCAGGGCGCAGAGTGGCGGCGAGCCGGGTCCAGGAGGGAGTCGCCAGGCGCAGGAGTTTCTCGCGGTTGGCCGGGCTTTGTTCGCGCCGACTGCGCTGGAGACCCCCGCGGCAGGGGCGCGGCAGGGGCGCGGGGGGCGCTAGGCTTTGGGCCGGGCACGCGGGGCCTGTCCCCGGCCCCTCTCCCCGCGCCACCACTCCAGGCGCGTGGAGCCCGGCGCGGCGCGCGGCGGGGGGACCCGGGCGCCCGGGTGCGAGCAGAGAGCGGGGTGGGGGATGGAAACGAGGGTGCGCACCCGCCTTGGGCGCCGCGGGGGCACACTTGGCCCCCGACCGGGAGACCCGAGGCAGAGCGAGCTGGCCGCGTGGACCCGGGCGGAGACCGCGTGCTGGGCCCTGCGGGGTGGGCGCCACGAGGGCGGAGACCGGCCGCGTGCACGCGCTCCCCCGTGGGCGGCACACGCGGCGGCGGGCACAGGCCTCCCCGCAGGCGCGCGGGAGCCGCAGTAGTTTTCCATCTGACCGAACCAGCGTCTCGCTGTGCTTTTGGGAACCCGGGTTCCCTCCGTCAGATGAGAAACTGGCTCTGGGGAGCCCGGCGGGACCCCCGGAACCACGAAGATCTTATTCCCTGTGCAGGGTGGGGCCCATGCTCTTCAGAGGAGAGAAAGTCTCTGGTTTGAGCCGGCTTTATTTTCGAACCTGACAATATCGATGGTACTAACGGAGGAGAAGCTGTTTGCTGAGCACTGAACATGGCAGGTCCTGTGCTAAGTGCTGTGAGCGTTGCCTCATGTAAGCCTCACGGCAACCGCGTGAGCTACTATCACTCCCGTTTCACAGATGAATAAACCAAGGCACTAAGAAGTTATGTGACTTGAGCATGGTCACACTGCTAGGACATGATGGAGAGGTTTTATTTAATCCAGACTTGGTGACTCCAGACCTTTTGCAGCTCTGATGCTGGGGGGGGAGGGGGGGAGCCAGCCCAGGTGACCAGGCCTGACACAGAGCAGTGTCCCTAAAGGTGGGCCCGTGGCTAAGGGGACTGGAGCATCTGGCGGGGATGGCCAAGGCCCATGGATGCAGGGAGAGGAGGGAAGGGCCCTCTGGTTGGACCCCGGGCTCCTTGCCGCTCAGCCTCAGTACTGCCTTCCTGCTGCGCAGGGCTGGTGGCCACTACCTGGAAAGTTTTTATGGGGCTGCTTACCTCCTGGGTGGCTATGACCTAATCCACTCTGGGCGTGGCTCCTCAAGCAGGTGCCTGGGCAGGTCCCCACTGAGCCCCTCCCAACACCACGGTGAGGTGGCTGCATGCCTGGAGGTCGGGCTTGACATTGGCCGAGGGAGTGGCACTCAGGGCTGATGTTCTGTCTGCCGGAGCACCTGACTCTGAGTGATTAGGCTCAGAGTCTGGCTCTCCCGAGTCTCCCTCCAATGGGCCCTTGCCCTGACGAACCACTGCTACAGTCTGGGCTCTGGGTCAACGTCTGGCTTCCAAGCGATCTAGAAGTGTCTGTGAGCGGCCATCCATTTCCCGGATCAGTGCTGCTGAGCCGGTACTGGCTCCAGGCTTCACGGACTTGAGCTTTGGAGGCAGCGTGGCGCCGGGCGCCTCCCCAGGTTACCGGCAGGTAGCGGAGCAACGCCCGGTGCTGGCGGCCAGGAGGCCGCTCGACAGCTGGCCCGGCGGAAACCCAGGAGACTCGCCCGGCCACATTTCTGCTTCCTCTGTTGTGGACAGAAACCACGAAACGATTCCCTCCTGAGCCACATGGCCTCCTGTTCCCAGGCGTGGCAAAGAGCCCATTGTCTGCTTTTAGAAGGGGAGGCACAATAATCCTCAGAAATCCAGCTGCTTTTGTTCTGGAACATTGAGCTGCTTGTCTGGCCTCGGCATGGTCGTGGTGAGCCCACTTTGGGGCAGGGCCCGGGCTCCAATGCGGCAGGTAATCGACCAGCTCACCAGGACCCTGCCCGTGGGCACAAAGGAGGCACCAGCCCCGGCCCCTGGTGACTGGGGCTCTTGTGTGTCAGTGGAGCCTGGGGCTTGCCAGCCGGAGAGGAAGCCGGCCTTCTGGGCCCCGGGTCATATCCCCTCCTCGGCTGGTCATGGGGACTCTTCCTGCTGCGGGCCCTCAGCCTGCTGTTCTCAGATACCCCTCATTTCCCCTTTGTGGCCACAGTGCACCCCCCCCCCAAACTAGCATTACACAGAATTAGCCTCTTGAACCACATTTCTCGGGGCTGGTGGGCCCTTTGCACAAAGCACATGCCTTTTGAAGATGGTGCTCATAGCGTGGCCAGGAGGGGCCCACGGAGGACCAGGCACGGAGTGGGGCCTGGCTGCTCCGCTTCGGGCTGTCCGGACAGTCACAGGCTCCTGGGCTGGAGAACTTCAAACGCGTCCTCTCCTCCCTCAGGGGCCCCCTTTCCTCACTGGCTTTTTATCCAGGGAGCATTGGGCGAACTCCAGGCCGCGTCCCTCGGCTCAGTGCCCTTTAGGGCTTGGGATCAGCTGTGCTGAGGGCGGTGCCTGTCCCCCCCCCCCGCCCCCCCAGGCTCCTGTGCAGTCTGTGCATTTTGGCCCGGCGGTCTGCCTCTCAGCAGCTGCTCCCAGCCTGTACTTGGACCCCCAGGCCGCGGAGGCCACCTGGATGGGGCCGAGCCCCGCGTGTGCCCCGGCACCTCCAAACCCTGTGGGGGCCCTTCTGCAAGTCCCCATTTCTCATGAGCCCCAAGTGGTGCCCAGACCCACCTGAGTCGAGGGGCTGGGTCCTTCCCCTGGAGGCTCACTCCCTTCTCCCCGTGATGCCACACTTAGTTTAAGTGGAGAAACTGAGGCACGGAGAGGGCCCCCACCTCCCCAAGTGGGAGCACCCGCCTGTCTGCAGCGCGGCCTCCCTTCGTCCCTCCACAGACCGAACACTAAGAGCCGGAAACATGAGTGAACTTGGACCCCCCTCTCTCCGGCCCGGCCCGCCCCCGCCCTGCGCTCCTGCCCACTGGTGGAGACAAGGCGGGGGCGGGGGCGTCCATGCGGGACAGCCCCCGAGGGACAGGTCCCCGGCTCTCTCAGACAGCGCTTCGTTGTTGACCTCCGCACAAAGTGGCCGGCTTCCTGCTGACTCAGGCACGCACGTGGGGACGGGCCAGCCCAGAGCCGCCGCCGCCTGCTCTCTCAGTAGCCATGGCCTCATCGTGAACAAGTGGAAGCCCCTCCTCTCCCTCAGTCAGAGGACAGGACACCAAGATGGACCTAGGAGGCCAGAAAACAGCTGCCTGAAGACTCCCCGAGTCACAGGGGCAGTGGTGCAGGGGTGGGGGGGGGCGAGCGAGGGAGGGGGAGGGGCAGGAAGGGGACCCACGTGCAGGAGCTCAGGCAGGGCTGCCCTGCGGTGTGGCCCATGTCACAGTGGCATGGGCTGTGGCTGTCGACCTCAGGGCCATCAGGTGCAGCGAGGGAGCCCTGCCGGCTGGGGCGCGGGAGGAGGCAGAAGTGACGCCGGTGTGTGTCCCTGGCTGCCACGTCCCCAGGGGGCAGGGCCCAAGATGGAGCCTGGGGACACCTAACAGGAAGGGGCAGGCCCCGCCCGGGGGGCATTTGCTGGCCGAGGAGGACCAGCGGCGTCGGGTGGCCCCGTGTCCTTCCCGCCTGCTGAGTCTGCAGGCCGACCCCAGGAGGGGAGTGGGCGAGCGAGCAGAGGGGCCCGCGGGAACCTGTGCCCCTGCTGCCCTGGGTGAGACCAGGGCCCCGAGCCTCCCGCACGGTGGCCCCGGGCCCACGCGGCAGCTGTGGGGGTGGGGGGCGGGGACGAGCGGTGCCCGGGCTTCTTGGAGCCCAGTGGCTCGGACTCGGGCAGGTGGAAGGGATGTGTGTTGTCCTCCTGAGCGAGTTCACACACACGCACGCACGCACCCGCACCTGCACACGCACACACGCCCTTGCTCCGCCCCCTGAAGCCGCAGGTGCAGAGCCTACCGTCGCTGCTAATCCTAGGCACCTAATCCCACAGGGTGCGTCTCCCGCGGGAGCAGGCAGAGGGCCTCTGGCGGAGCCCGGAGGGTGGGCTGAGTCCCCGCGCCCCTGGGCTCCCTGTGAGGGAGCTGCCTTCTCCCTGCGCAGCTGGAGGAGGAGGGCGCCTGGTCTCTCCTCCCGGGTCTGGAAAGCGCTCCCAGCCTCCTGCGGAGCGTCTGGTGGCCTCCGACGCGCCCCCTGGAGGCTGAGGGCAGCCGAGCAGCAGGGAGAGTTGGCCCAGCCTGTGAGCAGGCGCTGCAGCTGGTGAACGGGCGCTGGACGGAGCCCCCAGTCTGCTCCAGTCATGGGGGCTCCGCCCTGCTGCTGGCACTGTTGGGGGTCACACGGCTGGGGCTCGTGTGGGGGCCGTGTCCCTCGTCCTGGGGCAGCGCGTGGGGCTCCATGGTAAAAGCCCCCCCCTCCCTTGAGACTGGGGATCTCAGTGGCTTATGCGCGCGTGGGAGAGGCCTCAGCCGGCGCTGGGCCGCAGGTGCCCATGACCACAGTGGTGGCAGGTGCCCTGCCCGATGCCCCTGGTCTCCTCCTTCCCCCCGGGGCCCCTGCGTGCTCTCCGCAGCCTGTGCTGCTGTGATTGGTAGCGGGCAGTCTGCAGCTGGCTCTTAAATGCTTCCCTGGGTGTAGGGGGGCTGTGAGCTCCTGGTGGAGGGGACAGTGTCCTGGGGGTCCCCAAGCCCCACTGCCCGGCACAGCCTCCCAAGCAGCAGGTGTTGGCGGCAGTCAGGGTTCTCCAGAAGAACACAGTCAATTGGAGATATTTATATGGAGAGATTTATCATTAGAAACTTGGCCGACACATTGTGGAGGCTGGCAGTTCCTAAATGTGCAGTCGGCAAGCTGGGGCCCCAGGAGACATAAAGCTGTGGGTCTGGCCTGAGAGCCGGCAGGGCGGGCTCGAGACCTGGGAAGAACAAGGTCCTAGTTCAAGTCTACACTTGATCGTAGCCCAAAGGCCGAGAAGTGATCCTAGTTCAAGTCTAAAGTCAGGAAAAAGCCAATGTCCCAGTTCAAAGGTAGCCCAGGAGGCGACACTCAGGGAAGGGTTAGCTCTGCTGCTCCGTCCTGCCGTTCACCGGGTCGGACTCAGTGCACCCCCTGCACTGAGTCCGCCAATTCAGACACTAGTTTCTTCCAGAAGTGCCCTTGCCCACACATCTCGTGGCCACCAGGTTGACAGGTGGAATCCACCATCGCGCTGCCCTTGGCTCCAGGCCAGGCTCTGAGCAGGGGTCTTTGGGGAAGAGGGGGAGGAGTCGCCAGAGGTGAGATGCTCTTGGGGCCTCCTGGGCGAGGATACCTGTGGACTGTACCTGGAGCCCCCTCGCGGCCTGTCCCTCCCGCTGTGGGTCGGTCTGCCCCTTGGCTCCCTGCTGGGCCACCTCATGTCTCGACACACTCCCCCTCTGCCGTCCGGCTGCACTGCCCGGCCCCTCTGCACCGGCTCCAGGGGGTACCTTGGCTCCAGCCAAGCCCGGCTCAGCTCCACAGTCAGGCCCCAGCAGCAGATGGGAAACAGACACACGTTTTGTACAAGCCGGTTCGCATGGACAGAAGCTAGGCGCCTGTGCACGTGCTCACGGGAGGAAGTCCCCGACCCGAGCCCAGCTGTGGTTCCCGGTCCCCGTCTCCACATGCTGTCATCACTGGGTCCTCCCGTCCCTGGCACCTTCTCACCGGCCAGCCCGCGGGGGCCTGACATACAAACAAAGGTCAGTGGCCACAGAGCCACCGGCAGGGAGTACAGCCGTGAAGTCACCTTCTGGCTGAGCCACACTGGGCATCAGCTCTGGCCTTCATGGAAGCAGATCCTGGAAAGAAACGCCTCTGGGCGACCTGAGTCACCCCCTCGTCACCCACAGCATTGCGCACAAGGGAGCTGCTGACCAGGAGGCCGAGACAGAGCAGCTCAGTGCCCGTCGGCTCGGCCACGATGGCCACTCCTCTGTGTAGGACCCCGTCTTCTGGCAGGTGACACGTCGGCAAGCTGCGGCGTGACCTTCTGTGCATCCACATCCAGAGCAGAGGCTCTGACAGACTAAGCTTGCGCTGGTGCCCAGACCCTGGTACAAACTCAGAAATGTCCTCCCCAAGCCCCGTGACACTCGGGACCATCCTTGTGGCTGTGAGATTCCGGGTGTTGCTTACCCCAGACTCGCTCAGGACCCCGCCACCTGGCTGCCGGGAGGAGACGGTGCTGCCAGGAGGGGACAGTGCCGAGCACCACCCACTCCTTGCTCCCACTTTAGTGCCAGGACACCGGGCAGGGGCTGCCTCCTCATTTCCGACCAAGAGGGCCCGTAAGGGTGAGAGCCGCACAGAGGAGGAAGTCCAGCCTCCAGACGGCACAGGAACCCGGGGGCAGGACCACAGGTGTAAGACAAGGTGGCAAAGGCTCTTTACAGCTGCTGACCTGGCGGGGACAGGTTGTGCCGGAGTCGGGCTCCCGGCGGAACCACCGTGTGCGGGTGGCAGCCACACGTGGGTCATCAGCTAACACCCCCACTGGCGGCTCTGTTTGCTAATTTAAATAATGGGATGCAGAGGATTTGGCTTGAGCTGTATATACTCACGTCCAAGGTCATCCACGGTGCTGGTGCCGGTGGGGTTTCGCCACTGACTCAGGGTTCTTGTGTGGCTTTGATTTCAGACCGTCTTGCGGCGACATCCCTACTCACAAAAGTGGCTATCCCACCGCCTCCTGAACGCTGCTGAGGGCCTCATTCTTCCCAGTCACCTGCCCTGCGGCCCCCTGCAGGGGTGGAGCTGAGTGAGGCAAGCCCCACGCCGGCACTGCAGCTGTCCGCTGGCGGCTGGTGTCTCCACCGCGCACTGGAGACACCGACCCATGAATAATTACCAAGGCCCCGATACTGGCCCGTCATCCCCGCCGGCTGCTCTGCTTCGGGGCTTGTCCCAGACAGTGCATGCATCGTGCGTGCGACGGTGCAGATGGCTGTGTGTGCACACGCTGACCCGTACGCACTTGTGTATTGGTACACATTGTGTGTGTGTGTGTGTGTGTGTGTGCACGTGTGCGCGCATATGGAGGAAAACCCAGTGTGGCGTCAGCACAGGCTGGCCCGTGGGCCTCCGCATTTTGGGTAACGTCCATTTGTGGTACTTCCTGGTATGGCTGTTTCGGCAGCCCGCTCGCGCCGGGGCTCACACTGGCTGCTCTCTTCTGCGAGGCCCCCGCTGTGGTCCGTGTGCCGGCACACTCAGTGTCTGGGTGGACCTTTCTGGGGAGACCACCATTTGCCCCATTCAGGGCCCAGTAAGGCCAGGCTCCCTGACCGGCTCCCTGACAGTCTTGGCTGGCAAAAGTGCACAGGAAGGCAGTTCCTGATGCCCTCACCTCCATGTGTGCTGGGGACTGGGTGGAAGTGAGTCCCTGTGGCCTGATGCTCTGAGGCCAGGGTCTGGGAGCAGATGCCCGAGACGGAGTGCGGCCGCGAGGGAGGACCTGCTTGGGGCCTCTCGCCTTGGCCGCGGGCCAGTGTTCTCGTGCACACGTGGTGTTCGCTCTATGTGTGCCTGAGTCCAAACACCAGTCACAGCGAGCTGGGGCTCACACTGATCCCCGGATCTCACCGCAGTCACCTCTTCTAAGGCCCTGTCTCCAAGCACACCCCCGTTCTGGGGGGCTGGCGGTCGGGGCTCCAGCACGCCGTCCTGGGGGGGACACCGTCAGCCCCTGTGAGCAGAAGCAGCTGCACTGCAGGGGATGTCGGGTGTCTTCTCCTGCAGGAGCGAGAGCAGCTGGCGGTTTAGTTCCGCGGGGGCGCCGGCCCAGCAACCGGGCACGGGGAAGCCGCCATGCACCCAGCGGGGGGTGCTGCCCTTTCTAATGGCAGGTAGGGTGGGGGTGGACGGGGGCCCCCGGGAGCCTCGAGGTGCAGGGTTGCCCAACCCCAGCCCGGCTCCTTGGGTCGGCGGCAAGTGCGGGCGGGGAGGGAACAGGGCTGGCTGGGGCTTCGGCAGGAGCCGAAGGAGCGTCTGCCTTCCTTCTGACTCGTCCGTGTTCCTGCGCACATGGTTCGCGGCTACACTTTGAAAAACCTGCTGTGGGCAGCTGGGTAGCGAGCACAGCAGCCTCAGAACAAACCAGACCAGCTCTGAAGCCCCTTTCAACCTTCTCGCGGGCCACGCCCCCTCCCACGTTGCTTTCCAAGCGCTGGACTAAAATGTGTGTCTCCTTCATGCTAAGGGCACAGAAAGCTTGCAGGGTGTGAGTTTAATGGGGAACTGAGGCTTGATGGTCAGTGTGGAGATTGCGTGCACACAGGACGCCCCTCCCCCGCCAGCGGCAGAGCACACAGCTCAGCAGACAGAGCCCAGGCCAAGGGGGACAATGTGGGTGGGTCACTGGGTCCCGCTGGGCCTCAGCCCCTCTCCCCGACTGGCTTGCGCACGTGTGTGGCTCTGGGAGGTTTGGCCCTGGATTCAGGAGAGGGCTGGTCAAGGAAGGTTAAATCCCATCAGACTGGGTAGTGGGCACCAGAGCCATCAGCTGCCCCGAGGGACCGGGCACGGGGGGTGGGGGGGCCATTCAGTGCGTTCAAGGGTGGATGGAAGTTTTCTAACCCAGAAACTCTTCTCACAGAACAAACCAGCCACCGGAATACTGTCCAGTGACTTCCGTGACTGCTCCTGGGATCTCCTGGGCGGAGATGCCTCAGCACTCGATGGGGGACAAGCCCCTGGTGTCCATGCCACAGCTGGTGTTCCCGAGCCCACTCTCAGCCGTGGACAGTGGGAGTGGCCACAGCCCCCCAAGCAGCCGGGCGTCCCTCGGCTCGCCCCTCAGTCACGGCGTCCCGTGCTCCCCCGCCCACAGCCCCCTGGACTCCTGCAGCCAGCCGCTGTGCCAGCCGCCGGCCGGGAAGCGTGAACCCCGGGCGGCCCCCGAGATGTGCTACGTGGCTGCGGGGCCACAGAGCATGGCGTGTGGCTGGCGGGCCTTCGCACCCAAGTGGCTGCAGGCCTTCAACACGCCCAGGGGCTTCCTGCTCTTCCTGTGCGCAGCCGCCTTCCTGCAGGGCATGACGGTGAACGGCTTCATCAACACGGTCATCACCTCCATCGAGCGCCGCTACGACCTGCACAGCTACCAGAGCGGCCTCATCGCCAGCTCCTACGACGTGGCCGCCTGCCTGTGTCTCACCTTCGTCAGCTACTTTGGGGGGACCGGCCACAAGCCGCGCTGGCTGGGCTGGGGCGTGCTGGTCATGGGCGCCGGCTCGCTGGTGTTCGCGCTGCCCCACTTCACCGCGGGCACCTACGAGGCGGAGGGCGCCCAGGGTGTGGGCGCGTGCCCAGCCAACCACAGCCTGGCCTGCCCGGGCCGCACCTCCGGCCTGTCCAGCTACCGGCTGGTCTTCATGCTGGGCCAGTTCCTGCACGGCGCGGGCGCCACGCCGCTCTACACGCTGGGCGTCACCTACCTAGACGAGAACGTCAAGTCTAGCTACTCCCCAGTCTACATCGGTGAGTGGGGCGGCCGAGGGCACGGGCGGGCGCAGCTCCCTGACAGCCACGTGGGGTCGCAGGTGAGGCAGCAGGTGAGCGTCACGGGGACCACCGTGGGGGACGGTGGTGGTCCCGGCCGACCTCAGCCTGACCCCCAGCGCATCTTGGGGGCCTGGGGGGTGCACGGAGTAATTAGGCCCACGGCTGGCTCGTGCCCCAGGTCAGCCAGGCATTGCCATGCGGCCCCTGGGGCTAGGCTCGAGGCTCATGCTCCCGCTAAGTCACCCACGTTTATGTGGGGTCAGATTTCGGGGTTTTCAACCTCATGGCACCACGTCCCTGCGTCCCTCCTGCTGGGCCCGGCTTTCCCAGGGAGAGGGGCTTGGGGACACTCACAAGAGACTGACTGGCACTCCAGGGCCATCCCGACCTGGCCAGCTGACTACAGCCTCCTTTCCACCTTGTGCTCGGTCCCTCAGTCACCTAGCGGTGCCGACCAGGGACGCTGGGGTCTCCTTAGTCCAGTGACACCCCCGTGGGCCTCCGATGTGGCATGGAGCCCCCCGCGTCCTGCACAACTGGGCTCTGGGGATCTTTGCTCTTTCAGGAAGAAAGGGTCCAAATGATATCTGCGGTTGGCTGGGTCAGGAAAATTTAAAAATGTTTTTAATGTTTATTTATTTATCTTTGAGAGAGAGAAAGAGAGAGCGCAAGCAGGGAGGGGACAGAGAGAGAAAGAGGGAGACAGAGAATCCCAAGCAGGCTCCACGCCATCAGCAGAGAGCCAGACACAGGGGCTCGAACTCACCAGACGTGAGATCGTGACCTGAGCTGAAGTCGGACGCCCAACCGACTGAGCCCCCAGGCACCCCAGGAAAATTTTAAAAGCAGCCAGATTTCAGACACCACGGAGGCTGCACGGATGAAAACCCTGCTCTAAAGGGTCCGTGTCGCAGGGGCAGACCCACGGAGCCGGGGCTCCTCTCAGGTGGGCTCCCGTGGCTTCTGAGCGCCGGTGGCTCACGAGCCCCCCGGGTTGGTGGATGCAGCCGGCCTCAACCTCTCTGCTTCTCCCCAGCCATCTTCTACACGGCGGCCATCCTCGGCCCTGCCGCCGGCTACCTGATTGGAGGCGCCCTGCTCAATATTTACACAGAAGTAAGCCGACGGTGAGTGACCCCAGCTGAGTCTACCCCGCATGGATGGCACCTCATCTGGGCAGTGGCTCCCTCAGAGCGGGACACACAGCAGGAGGAGGCCTGGGCTGGCCCTGCTGTGGTGGCCCCAGGGTCTGGGGGGCAGTCCTGGGGTCTAGGGGGCAGCCCTGGGGTCTGGTGGGGCTGGCCCTGCTCTGGTGGCCCCAGGGTCTAGGGGGGCAGCCCCAGGGTCTGGGGGGGCAGTCCTGGGGTCTGGGGAGGCTGGCCCAGCTCTGGTGGCCCCTGGGGTCTGGGGGTGGGGGGCAGGGACCCGGAACCAGACGAGACCAGGTCACCATTTCTCTAATACCCTTTGCGGAACTGAGAGCAGATTTTGTGTTGCCGGTGTGAGCTTCTGTGTGGGGTTTTCCACACCAGGCGGGTCTCTTCTGACATCTGTCAGGGATCCCAAATTCATCTCTGGCCTGACAGACTTCCCGGGGTCAGCACGGACCTCACGGGTGAAGGCTCAGCCCTAGGAGACCACCCCCTACAGACTCCAGCCTCAGGCACTGAGTCCCCACGACGTCTGTCCTGCCTGGCTACAAATCGGGGTTCCCATGGCCCCACCCTTGGGTTTCAGGAGCAGCTAGGACAGCTCACAGAACTGAGGAATGTGCTTTACGCATCAGATTGCTGGTTTATTAAGCAGATTATGACCCAGGAGCCGCCAGATGGAAGAGACACAGAGGCCAGGGGTGGGAGGGGGTGCGGGCTTCTGTGGCGTGCAGTGCTCCGCCCCCACACCTCCCCGTGTCCCCCCGCCGGGAGCTCTCCAGACCCCTGGGTTAGGGTCTTCTGGACCAGCGTGCAGGCTGCCCAGTGTGGGCGCCCTGAATGCACGTGGGCAGGACGCTGACCCCAAGTGTCTCCCCCCGCAGGACGGAGCTGACCACCGAGAGCCCACTGTGGGTCGGCGCCTGGTGGGTGGGCTTCCTGGGCGCGGGGGCCGCCGCGCTCCTCATCGCCGTCCCCATCCTCGGCTACCCCCGGCAGCTGCCAGGTGGGTGTGTCACTGTCCCCTCCTCCTTTGGGCCTGCGGGGCGGGGACCCCGGGGGAGTCCGGGCTCTTCTCCACTGGCCTGCCGGGCCCCCGGCCACGTGCAGCTGAGCCCCAGGCCCCCCAGCCATGCGGCTCCTCCCCGCGGGGGCGCCCAGGACAGCTGGTTTCAGCCTGAGCGAGCGCCCCCCTGGCTGCTCCCAGCGCGTGTCCTGTGTCCCGTGACCTTCCTCTTCTCTGCCAGCTGGTCACCGGTCACCGAGGTGCACGCCCACGCCACGTCTGTCCCCACGCCCTCCATCCACGGGGCCTTCCCAGACCTGGGGGGCGGGGGGGGCTGAAGCTTGACGTCTGTGTCCTTCCAGGCTCCCAGCGCTACGTGGTCATGAGAGTGTCAGAAACAAAGCAGCTGAAGGACAGCGGCCACCAGGCGGCCACCAACCCCGACTTTGGGAAAACCATCAGAGACCTGCCTCTGTAAGCACCTTGTGGGGGACCCGTGCCGTGGGTCCCGCACATGCTGGACCTTGACCCCTGCTATGAGAGTCTGTGTGGCCCCTCCAGGGCTGTGGTGAGCACACAGCTTCTAAACCTCCTTTGTGGCCCCGCAGACTCGAGGCCTCAGCCCCGAAATCTGGTTCTGATGGAGGGCCGGGGCCCCAGCTCCTCACTCCACTGTGTCCTTGACCTTTTCATTAAGGTCACCTGCATGTGCCTGGGGTTCCTGGGCCCGTGCCCTCTCTCTGCCTCGAGGTCTGAGGAGCCCGGAAGGGTCAGGACTGTCTCCCGCCCTCTGCCCTCACTGTCCTGCACCAGCCCCCACTGCTCCTGTGCGTGACCCGGTCTGTCCCCTCTCCCTCCTGTGTGTGACCTGGTCATGTCCCCTCTCCGTTGTGTGTGGCCTAGTCTTGTTTTGTGGCCTTGATGTCCTGTTGGGAGGAAATGACCTTGGCCTGCTCTGGTCTCAGGGAGACTCGGAGCCTGGGGGACTCCTGGCCGCCCACACCCCTCTTCATGGGACGAGGCAGTGCACAGGGGACTCTCCCGGGGGTGGGGAAGGAGGCCCCCGGACGGCCACCAGCCTGACTCCTCGGCCTCACCGAGTACTCCCCTGGCCTCCTGGACTCTGGAGCCAGAGCCCAGGAATGGCCGTGTTTCACTGGCCTCGCGGGGCCAGGGGACGTTGGTGGCAGGAATGAGTCCCCGTTGCCTGCCTTCCCCAGGGAGAGGGTGAAGGGGCACCGGGGCCAAAGGCGGCCTGCGAGGGAAGCCCCTGTGCTGCAGCTGTCCACGGCCCTGCTTCCCCCGTGGAGAGTAGGGTCTCCCCGCACCCACAGCGAAGTGCTCTGAGCCAGAGCAGGGCCGCCAGTGGCCCGCACACGGCACTCGGGACCTAGCAGGTCAGCAGCTCTGGGGACAGCGGGCCGAGAGACGGAGGTGTGTGTCCGGCTTAGCCCCCCAGCCGCCGCCGGGGACGAAATAAATACTGGCGCGTGTGCTCTCCGTCGGCGTCACGGCGGGCTCTCCCGCAAGTCCAGCGCAGGGTTTCAGCAGAGCAGCCTAGAGCCGGGGATTAAGAAACGTGGGAGCCTGTGCACCCCAGGGAGGGCCACCCGCCCTCCCCCGCACCCCCCAGGGAGGGCCCCCCGCACCCCCGCACCCCCCAGGGAGGGCCCCCTGCCCCCCCGCACCCCCCAGGGAGGGCCACCCGCCCTCCCCCCAGCCTAGCCGAGGGCCCCGAAGCCTGGGCCAGTGTGAACACGGCTCAGGGTAGAGACCAGCCAGACCCAGGGCGTCCCCCACACACGGCAGGGCCTGAGAGCCCCGACAGAGGAGGGGGCCCCAGAGCCCCTGCCCTCCAGCACCCCTCTTCTTCCCTTCAGGGACACGGGACCCAAACAATTAACCAGGAAGCATCGTTTCCAGTCCTCCAGCTGGAAAGTCAGTTTGCAAGTGTGCCGCCCTGGGGTGGGCCAGACGCCGCGAGCCGCGTGGAATTCTTTCCTTCGCTCGCTCGCGGCCGCGTGTCCCGGTGCAGAGCCTGGCTACGGCTGCTCCGCACACCCTGCTTTCCAAGGTGCAATTGCTGGCCTGCGACAGGTCCCCCGAGATGTGAGCAGGGCCGTTGGGGCCCCTCCCAGCGTGAGCCTCACCAGCAGCTGGCTGTGCGGGGCCAGGGCCCACGAGGGCGGGCTCCCCCCACGGCACAGCCCTGAGCTGCAGACTCGGGGGGTGTAACCCCCAGAGCCGCCCCCACGGCAGGCTAGCGATAGTCATGTAGTGCCAGGATTTGCTTTCTCGTAGGTGCGGGAGAGGGAGGGTCTGCGCTGCCATGACCCGGGGCTCCAGGGAAAACGCTGCCCCCTGCCCGCACGACCCCTGGGACCAGGGACAGAAGCGCACCAGCCGGCACCTCTGTGCACACGTCCCGGCACCTGCCGCCCGGCTGCTGGGAAATCAGAAAAACAGGCGCTAGAGCCTTGTGCTCAGGCGACCGGCTCACCCCCGCCCCCGCCCCTCGAGGCTGAGCTTCTGAGCTTCCGGACACCCTGCAGCTGTAATTCATACGTTTCCCACTCCAAGCTGCGTGTCCTTCACTGCCCCGCGAGGGCAGTGTATTGTGTTTTGTGCTGCGCGTGGAGTCGGTGCACCTGGGCGCCTCCCCTGCTCGGCCTGAACCCCCAAGAGGGAGTGAGCGACCCTCGGAGAATGTGCACACGCGAGGGCAGGTGGAGTGGGGCAGGGCCTGGTGCCCAGCCCGCTGCTCGGCGAGGACACAGGCGGGCAGCGGGCCGGGTGCTCACAGAGGTCTCTCCACCCCGCGGTGAGACCTGAGGCCAAGAGCGCCCCCAGGGCCGTGCAGGGCTCCCCTCCTGATCTCCAGACAGACGCAAGGCTGGCCTCACTGGGGAACGGGCAGGTTGGGGCAGAGGTCCTTCCTCAGGACCCACAACAGCACCCCTAAAGTACACAGCAGCCTGCGCCACCCAGAGGTGCCTTGGAGGGCCCCCCGTCCCCCCTTCTCCAGGGCTGGTGGCTGAGAAGGGACCCTAGCTCTCAGTGCCAGTCCCCGCCCACAGGGACCTGGCCAGTCCTGGACTTGGGGACAGCCACCTCCCCCAGCCCCCCGCTCCTGGCTCTGCCCCCAAGTGATTCCACAGTGTGGTTGCTCGGGTTTCTCCCCATGCCAGAGCTGAACTGTGGCCGAGGCGGAGATAAGGTTGATTTAGTGGCTTCCTATCCTGGAGCCGGTTCTCCACCAGCCTCACACCCCCTCCTGACTGCTCTGGGGTAGATGCGGAGGCCCCCAGCTCCCCAGCCCACTGATTGCCCTCTGGACGGGCACTTCCCCTCTGGCCTACTCTGACCCTCTGTCTCTTCTCTCTCGTCTCCCCATCCAGCTCCATCTGGCTCCTTTTGAAAAACCCCACGTTCATCCTGCTGTGCCTGGCTGGGGCCACTGAGGCCACACTCATCGCTGGCATGTCCACGTTTGGCCCCAAGTTCCTAGAGTCTCAGTTCAGCCTGAGCGCCTCAGAAGCTGCCACCTTGTTTGGTGAGAAAATTCACTGGACCTTGGGTGTCCCCTGACTTCATGAGTTCTCAGATGAGCGAGGGCTCCTTGGAGTCTCATTACGAGTCCACACCACTCCTCTCCTCCTGAGGACATGCAGGGTGTGTGGTCCTGCAGGGAAGGCTGCCGGAGTGGGCGTGGGGCTGTTCGTGGATCTGATGGTCCTTCCCGAGAGGTGGGGGGCACCGACCGCGGGTGCTGACCTCCTGGCCAGGATCCGCTTCAGCTGGGAGGCTCGGGCCAGCTCAGCTCGTCTGTGCCACTTGCTCAGCACCTCCATCATCCCTGGCTTGTTGCAGAAAGGGTTTGGGTAGTGGCGCCCCCTGAGGACCCAGACCCTCACCTGGCCTCACCCGTGAGCCAGGTGGCTGGCGTCCCAGGATTTCATGGGACCGTGAGGCTGGAGCCCCTGGACCTGCCCAGCCAGAGCCATTCTGTGGCCAGAGCCAGGCTGGCCTCCCCGAGAATGAGGGCCCTGCTTAGGGTGCCCCCTGACCTTGCCGAGAACACACCAGGCAGGACGTGTTACCAGACAAGGGGGTGATGTGCATCCTGGCCGGGAGGGTCAGCACCCCATGTGGAAGGTGGGGAGCTTCTGAGCAGCACATGGGCCAGTGCAGGCCGCCCCCGAGCCCTCAGGGTTCTGTTCCGGCACAGGACCTAGGCGTTCGATTAGGGGCCCCATTCCCCCATCTCATGCCCCCAAACACCCCTCCTTGCCTGGCCTCTCATCTCCATCCACAACTGCCTCCCCTTCCCCAAAGCGGCCCCCGCCCTGTGCCGACATCCCCGCCCAGAACGCCTCTTGCTCTCGGGTCCCCTGTGCTGCACCCCCAGGGCTGGAAGGGGTCCGTGTCAGAGCTGGCTTTGGTCCTTGCTGGAGAGACAGGCCCACCGAGCCCCCCTCCCATCTGCGCCCTGTCCCTGGATGGCCTGGGAGCCACGTGCCAACAAATCCCAGCTTCGTATGAAGCGGCACCTGCCGCAGATTTCCCCGGATGGGGCTCTCGGGCGGGCTCAGCAGAGGCTGAGGTGTGCTGGACCACAGCTGTCCAGGGCGGGCCCCGATCAGGCGGGCAGGGGGCCGCTGGCGTCCCCCCAGCCCTGCCCCACCCCTGCGGTCCCCGAAGCCCTCACCGAGCCCATCCCCTCTGCTGCAGGGTACCTGGTGGTGCCAGCGGGTGGCGGTGGCACCTTCCTGGGTGGCTTCTTCGTGAACAAGTTCAAGCTTCGTGGTGCGAGCATCATCAAGCTGTGCCTCTTCTGCACCGTGACCAGCCTGCTGGCCATCTTCGTGTTCTTTATGCACTGTCCCAACGTGCCCGTGGCGGGTGTGACTGCCGGCTACCACGGCAGGTAAGGGCCACCAGGTGCCCAGGGGAAGCGGAGACTCCAGCACAGCCGTCGGAGGTCCTGGGGCCCAGGGGGTGGCGGCAGTGGGGTCGGGACTCGGTCACCATTTGGAGAGGGTCACAGCTAAGGGGCATCCAAGACAGTCCAGCATTGGCCCTTTCGAAGCCCCGGGCTCCGTCCCAGCCCTAAGCCTGGGGTTCACATCGAGACCCCGGCCCCCCAGCTGCTTTCCACGTGTGGACGTGGAAGGTGGCCCAGTGTCGGCTCCCAAGTGTGGCCGTGTCATGGGAACGTGAGCACAACAGTTGTCAGGCGAATGTCTAAAGCAGCACCGACAGGGTCAGTGGGGAGGCGACGGACTGGACCCCCACGTTCCCCACAAGAGGGCTCTGCCACCCCGCGAGGGAGGTCAGCCCCCGGGAGGGTGCTGGGGGAAGCAGGAAGGGTCAGGAGGGGTGTGGGCTTTTCCGCTTGAGTGGAGAAGAGAAGGAAGCCCTCGTACTTGTGATCGCCACTACGGCACACATCCCTGAGCCGAGCGGGTGCACAGCCGTCCGGGGCTGGCGCCTGGGGGTGGGGGGGCTTGGCCCCGTGCGCTTGTGCTGTCCGTGTTTGGCGCCCCCTGCCTGCCCATCAGCCAAGTCAGGGGAAGCGCGCCGCGCACACAGAGAGCAGAGCGGAGCGTGAGAACGCCCAGCGATTCTACGGGCAGGAGGCAGGGAGGAAAAGGCGGGCATGGCCGGAGGGCTGAGTCCCCAGGGCTGGGCGCCCCACCTGGCCCGGCCCCACCGCCCCCTCGCCTCCCCCCTGCAGCCTCCTGCCCGAAGGCCACCTGGAGCTGACCGCCACCTGCAACGCTGACTGCAACTGCCGGCCTGAGCTCTACAGCCCCGTGTGCGGCTCCGACGGCCTCACGTACTTCTCGCCCTGCTACGCGGGCTGCCCCGAGGCGGCCGAGCCGGGCCCCGGCGGCCCGAAGGTGAGTGTGGCCACCACGCCCAGCCATCTGCACCCCGGGGGCCCCGCCCCTCCCTCCGGTAACAGCGCTGTTTGCGCCCCCAGGTGTACCGAGGCTGTAGCTGTGTCCCTCAGAATGTTTCCTCTGGTTTTGGCCATGCTACTGCAGGGAAATGCACTTCAGCTTGTCAAAGAAAGCCCCTCCTTCTGGTTTTCATATTCGTTGTAATCATATTTACATTCCTCAGCAGCATCCCTGCGCTGACGGCAACGTTACGGTAAGCCCCGGGCCCGGGTTTCGCTCTGGTCCAGAACCTTCCCTTGCAGCGCGCCGCGGTGGAGCTCTGCAGATCCCGCGGGGCGCGTGCCGGGCCCCCTGAGCACCGCGGCAGGAAAGAGCCACTGCCTCTGTGAGGTGCCTGCCACCCGGGGAGGTGGTGATGCAGCCTGGGGCCTGGCCGGGACTGGCTGCTGGCGTGGGGCTGTGGCTTGGCAGACGGCCACGCTTCCCTGGGCGCTGACGCCGCTGTCTCACCTTCCAGGTGCGTCTGTGACCGGCAGAGATCGTTTGCGCTGGGAATCCAGTGGATTGTGGTTAGAACTCTAGGTACTGTGCACTAGGAGCAAGCCACGCAGGGTCGTGTGGTGTGGTCGCTGCACGAGGGCACCCAGCGTGTGCCTCCGCACGCAGCCGGTGGGCTTTCAGAACAGCTTGCGCCCCCTTTGGAGAAGGACGCCGTTCCCTAACCGTCCACTAGGGGGACCCACGGTCATGTATTTGCCTTTTCCTCATTAGCACAAAGGCTCCAACGGAGGGAGTCAGAGGTGGTGGGAAGTCCCCCGAAACGGGACACTTAAGTCCAGTTCGCACCCCCTGAGAACACCAGTGACTGACGTCACCTTTCTGGGTCTCGTCACCGCCCACCCTCCCCGTCTGGCCCCCGTGCACGTTGGGTACTGAGTGAGCCTCTTTCCGCAGGGGGCATCCCGGGGCCCATCGCCTTCGGCTGGCTCATCGACAAGGCGTGTCTGCTGTGGCAGGACCAGTGCGGCCAGCCCGGCTCCTGCTTCGTGTACCGGAACTCGGCCATGAGCCGCTACATGCTCGTCGCCGGGCTGACGTACAAGGTGAGTGAGGCCGACGCGCTCCCAGGGGCGCTGCGGGGAGGGCATCCCGGAGTCCCCTCCAGGGGCCAGGGGCCTCCCCCCGCGGGGCCCCCGTGCCCGGTTCCCAGAAGTCGCATCCTTTCCAAGACACCACGTGGCCTGAGAGCCCCAGGCCCACGAAGCCCCTGCCCACCGGGCCCCCCCTGCCGCCCTGGGACTCTGGTCAGCTGTGGCTTTGCAGACATGAGACCCGGCTCCGTCCTGTGAGGGCAGATTCCCGCAGGCCTGTCCTCATCTGGGGGGCGGGGGTGGGGCTTGATGGGCCCCTGAACACTTCGCTCGTGACCTAGCTTCAGCCTGACCCTGTGAGGAGAAACTTCCTGCTCTATCATGTGGCTCGGGGCGGGGGCGGGGGGGGAGCACAGTGTTTATAGTTTGGATTTTCCCTGATTGGAGGGAAAGACAGAAAACCTTCACCATAAAGTGAAATCCTGGGGCCAGCCTGTAAGAGTGTCCCAGTTTCCTTCTCTGGGGGCACCTCTTGCGTCCGGCTGGTCTGGGAGCATCTCCTCAGTCCCCTGGGTTTATCTCCACTCGGATTAGCATAAAAATAGCCACGTGTGCAAAGGGATTTGCGTGGCTCCGAGAAAGGCCAGGGGGCAGCTGGAGAGGGAGGTGGCCTCCTGGGAGCTGCCCCCCCGGCTGTCGTTCTGTTGTACGCCACCCCCCCCCCCCCCCCCCCCCCCCCCGTCCCCAGAGCAGCGGCCGGGACCCGGGCCGTGTGTCCAGCCGCTGACAACCCCTTGGCGTCAGCGCAGTGGTTAGAATCGCTTCTCGGGTCAGTGCTGGGTGCAGCGGGAGGAACGCACAGCTTCCCGACTTGCCCGTCCGCTCCCTGCGCCAAAGCGACACGGGCACCAGGCGCGTCAGGCCGGGCGACGCTCTCAGACACACAAGGGTGTTCCCGCCAAAGCCCAGCATCAACATGTTAAAATACACACACATACAGGGCGCCTGGGAGGCGCAGTCGGTTGAGTGTCCGACTTGGGCTCAGGTCACAACCTCATGGTTCGTGGGTTCGAGCCCCGTGTCGGGCTCCGTGCTCAGAGCCTGGAGCCTGCGTCAGATTCTGTCTCCCTCTCTCTCTGGCCTCCCCTGCTCGTGCTCTGTTGCTCTCTCAAAAGTAAACCTTTAAAAAATTTTTATAACTACAGATATGTATTTGTTTCTCAGTTCTGGGGGCCAGAGGTCCACATCAGTCCCTTCCGGGGGCTCTGACGGAGGGTCTGCTCCAGGCCCCGTCTCTGCCTCTGTGTTGTGTGGCCTTCCCCCCCGGTGTCTGTAGAGTCGCTGCCTCCTCGCCCCCGTGAGCACATCTGTCACCGCTGGGCCCCCTGAGGTCCCGGTGATTTCATCTCAACCTGATTAACTTAATTACATCTGCCAAGACCTCAGTGTGACTATCGGTCCTGGGGGTGGACACTGGGACCACTCTTCGGGGGGACATGTTCAGCCCATGACGAGCTCCTACCCCCCATCTAGTGCCAGTCTCTAGTCTCATGCTGTTGTCCATTCCCTCACTAACAGTACCGCTGTCCACGCTAGAAGCGAGTTATGCAGAAAAGATGGGTCTTCTTGCGGGAACCGGGACCTCAGGAGGACCCGGGGCCAAGTAGGCTCCCCTTTCTCCCCAGGTGCTGGGTTTCCTGTTCTTCACCATTGCCTGCTTCCTGTACAAGCATCCGTCGGAGTCTCCCAATGGCCTAGAAGCTTCTCTGCCCAGCCAGTCCTCAGCCTCCGACACCCCCATGGACCTCCAGGATGCCCCCTCGGCCCTCCAGCTCCAGAGTGATGTCTGACCGCCCATCCGTCCATCCGCCCAGGGGCATGAGCCAGCTGCTTTGCACTTCTTGCAAACCCTGTATGATTTCTCCCCGGAAGGGCTCACCCCTTGCCAATGGATGCCCCATGCTGGAGACCCTCCAAAAACCTCCCGGAGGATCCTGCGGGGACTGAGCTGGTGGGGGCCACACATCTGAGTCTCAAAGGCACCGAGGAGAAAGGACGCAAGGCACACCTCCCTCCTGGGCCGGGGGGAGAGCGTGGCGCTCTCTCCGGCTCAGGAAGACGGAGGCCCCCACCCCCTCCCTTCCACCTCACAGTCCGTGAAGGGACAGAGCCGCAAAGCACTGAATTTTCCTCAGGAGCCTCAGGGACCCCGGACACGTTAGCAGCTGTGATTGTCAAACCATCTATGCAATTTGAACCGCACTGGTCCCGTGCGGAGCTGGCGGCCACCGGGTGGCCCGTAAGTTACCGTTCTGTCCCGGAGCCTGGAGCAGCGCCTGTCACCACCTGTGACGCGCACACAGGGCTTGGGCCAGCTACTGCTCTGTAACACCGTCAACGCCGAGGGATGGGAGTCGCCAAGCGCTGAGGCCCCCGCCGTGGGGCGTGTCGCCAGCCGTGCTCCTGAACGGGCCCGGTTCAGCGCGTCTTGGGGACCAGCCTGGGCCCAACTTCCTGTGTTTCTCCTGATACAGGGCAGCTGGGTGGCCGGCTGTCCCCAGGGGCGCGGCCCCTCCTGTCCCCTCCCGTCCTCAGAGCTGCGGCGGGCAGGAGCGCTCGCATAAGCAGATATTTATGGACCGATGCTTCGCAGAACCTTATTTATAGAATCTGTTTTTTACCTGCTGGTGTGGGGGGCATAGCGGCCAGCTCAGCGGACACTCGTGAACTCTGCCTGGAGGACACTGGGACTTTCAGGGAATGTGTGGATGGCCTCTGTTAAAATTATGTGTAAATAAATCTATTTTACTATTTAAAGCAAACCTTTCTGTCCAATGTGTTTTCTTTGTATGGATGTACAGAGTTTGGTGTGTGTGTACACATCCTTCGTGAGGGTTTTTGTGAGTCTGTGTCCCCAAGCCGGTGGCAGGCTGCCCCTGAGACGAGCCCTCTGTCGGCCCTGAACCCTCCTGGGAGGGCCCCTCCCCACCGGCCCCGCCAGTGACACCGCCCCCATCGTGCCCCAACAGCCCCCTCCCCCGGGGGCCCAGCACCAGCCGGGTGGGCCTGAGTCCTCAACCCGGGCCCGCACCTTCCTGGTGTCCTGGAGTGTCAGGATTCAGATGGGGACGGCCGGGCACAACAGTGAACACAGGAGAGGTGTGCGTGTGCGTGTGCGCGTGCGTGTGCGTGTGCGTGTGTGTGTGCACGTGTGTGCGTGAGAGGGGGCAGAAGGGAGACCCCGCGCCCACTGGGCTGCCTTCTCCCTGGATGTCCAGCTCTGATGCAGCGCCTCCCGGGGGAAGCCCAGAGAGTCTGCAACCATGGCCGGGGGGGGGGTCGGGGGGAGCTCAGAGGTGTCCTGGAAACCAGTCTCACCAGCCGGCCTTGGGGGCCCACATCCCAGATGGGCCTTTCCCTCCACTCCCCAGGCTCGGATCCCGACCTGCCGCTCCCGCTGCCCCCGCTGGCCAGCGTCTACGTGGGAGCAGGAAGCAGTCTCCCGGGCCTTCTGGACCTGGTCCGAGGGTTGACGCGCACCTGCTTCCGGCCTGGCCCTGCACGGAGGGCTCCGGACGGCAAACCCGGTCTGGGTGGGAGGGCGTGGGGACAGACCGCTGGGGTCGCTGCGACCCGCCACGGGTGGTGGCTGGGACCCTCTTAGGTCCCCTGATGCCGTCTCCCGCAAACACCCTTCGTGGGCCGGCCCGCGCCGGAAATGCGGAAGCCACCCGGCGTGCTGCCACGTGGGCTGTGCAGCCCCGACGGAAATCTCTGCGGTTCACGCTCACGAGGGAAAAGTCTGTGGACACGAGATGAGGGAGAAAGGGAGGACAGTGGCCCCGGGGCGCAGGGGCCACCGTGGCCGGGAGAGCCCCGCCTGGCTGCTGCCCCGGGGCCCCCACCGCCAGCCACGTTGGCCGGAGGCCTGGGGGGGACAGGTTACCTGCAGCACCAGGTGGGGGACTTCCCACAGGACACCTCCCTCCAGAGTGGGGGCTGCTGGGTCCTGAGCACCACGCCCGCCGGCCCTCCCCAGATCCCCCATGTGCAGCCTGGGGAGGCCGCCCCTCCCGGGACGGCGGGAAGCCACCCGAGGGCGCCCACCGTGCTGCATCTGTTCACATGTCGTGTGCACGTGTGACCCTGCGCCTGCGCGCACAGACACGCGTTCACTTCTAAAGTGCTGACGTTGGGCCGGGGCTCCCTTCCCTGCTCTGGCACTAAAAGCGGCTTGACCTTGAGCAAGCAATGCTTCAGTGTTCCCATCTGCAAATGGGCCCGGATGGGGACCCACCCCCCGGGGTGAGGCAAGGAAGAGCTGATCCGTCTGGGTGGAGCTCTGGGGATGCCCAGCCACCCCTGGTCGCTGCAGGACCCCAGGCAGCCCCTTTCTGGCCTGGCCAGAGGCCAGTGGCGGTGCTGGCGGGCGGTGCCGGCGGTTTCGGGCGTGCCCTGTGCCGCTCCCTGGGGCACAGAGGCGAGGTGTGGAGAGCAATTACCCTGAGCCATCATTTACACTAGGATTTATTTTAATTGGCAGCACATTAGAACGCGCTTCTGCTGGCCCCGTGGTGCCTGTTCCGTGTAACTACGTTCTGTGCTTAATTCGTAGCGAGATCGTTTATGCACATCGTGCGGGCCGTCCCCCGGCTCTCAGGAGCTGCACCAAAGGAGGACGTCGCCGGGGCCCTGGGGGGCGACCCGCAGGCAGCCCCGACTCAGGGCCGGGATGGAAGCCCGCACAGGAGGCTCCGGGGCGGCCGGGGCCACGATGGTGATGATGAGGAGAAGAAAGCAATGACCCCGGCCACGTTAGTAACTATAACTGAGCGGTTCAGCCTGCGACGTGTGCACACACTCAACCTCCCACACCCCGCGAGGCCGGCTGGCAGTCAGCGTGAGCTCAGCAGGCAGCAGGCCTGGGGCAGACCCAGCACATTCACTTAGCCTTCCCGTGCCTCAGTTTCCCCACCTCTAAATGGGGCTGATGCCACTGTGGTTGTGAAGACGAGGGTCCCTGGGTCAGGACTACAGGCTGTGGACGTGTTAATCAAATGATTAAAATAATCATCATCCTTGCTTGACAAGTAAGGAAACTGAGGCATGAAGGGCTGAGCAGCCAGCCCGTGCCAGTCGGGGTCCCCAGAGACACAGAACCGAGGGAAGCATGTGTGTCTGTGTGTCTGTCCGATCGGGGAGTCCCGCAGTCCACGGCAGCAAGATGGAGGCCCAGGAAGCCAGTGGGGCCACACCCGTCTGCGTCTGAAGCCTGGGGGCCTGGGGACCGACAGCCCGAGTCTCAGCCTGAGGGTCGGAGCAGATGCCCCTGCTGCACTCCTGTACCAGCCATGCCCACGGTGGATGGGACGGGGCCCACCGGCTTCCTGCTGAGTCCCCAAAACACCCCCCAGACACCCCGGGAGAGCCTGCCCCCCCGGCACCGGGCCAGGGAGGCCGGCACGTGGGGTGAGACTTGGCACACACCTGCCAGGCTCTGCCGCCCCCCGCCCCCCGCCTCACGTCCCCCTGGACCCTCTGTTGGCGTCCCAGGGCTTCTCGGGGTTTGTGACCCCAAGACCAGGTGGGAACCTTCTCTGAAAGGCCGAGCCCCCTGCCCGCGGAGCCCCTGCCCTCCGAGCAAACCCTGGGGAGGGTCCTGGCCCCTGCACTTAAGGAACAGCCCAGGCCGATCCCTGCCCTCAGAGCTCCCAAGCTCACGGGGGCACCCCTACCCACCCCAGGAGTGACTCACATGCACAAGAGCAATGACGGGCCGTCGCTGCCCCTGGGAGTCCCTGCCCAGGGGGCCCCAGCCCTGTCCCCTGTAGGCCCCACCTGGGCTTTGGTGTCTTCCCAGCACCCACAGTAATGCAGGCCGCTCTGGCTGCACTTCCCACCCTCCCGGGGAGACCCAGAGCAGCAGGCATGAGCCCCGTCCGGGGCCAGCAGGGGTCAGGCCCGGGCGCACAGGTCAGGGCAGAGGTGACCCCTCTTCTGTCTGAGTAGCGCGGATGGCAGGTGATGGAGTGACGGGAGGGGCGGGTGGAGCCGGTGGGGCCAGAAGGGGAGGGTGAGGTGGGACGGGAGGGTGGGGGAGCCGCTGCTCCGCCCCTGGACCTCCCCGGGCGGCCTGGCTCCCCAGAGGCGGCCCGTGGGAGCAGCTCCGTACACTGTCCCCGGGCCTGCTGTGGCCTCCCACGGCGGCCGTGGACCCGGCAGCGCCTCGCAAATTCCGTCCGCCCTCGAGCGACCCGGGAGCGAACCGCAGTGCACGCCCACGAAGGATTTCACCGGGCAGCCCGGGGGCGTTCTGTCCTTCCGTGCGGCTCGCGTGCTGGTCAGAGTCCAGACGGGGCACCGCACACCGAGCGTGCGTCCGCTGGGGCCTGCGCTCCCCGTCCACACAGCCCGGCAGCTGCTGAGCTCTGGGGGTCAGAGCGGCACTCAGAGCAGCAGGTGCCTGACCCTGGCGTGTTCGGGGACGATCATCGCTTCCCGCTGCCTGGACCGGTACCAGCCCCACCCAGGCGAGCAGTCGGCCCTCGGACGACAGTCCCCAACACCCCCCACCCCCGCCCGGGCCATCCGCCGCCTGGCGCCTCCTCAGGAAATAAACACGTTCTTGCTGCGCCCACCTCACCCTAGAGACACTGGGGCTCGGGCTTAAAACTAAGGTTTGGGGCGCCTGGGGGCTCGGCCTGACCCTGATCTCAGCTCAGGTCATGGCCTCGGTTTGTGAATTGGAGCCCCATGTCGGGCTCTGCACTGACAGTGGGGAGCCTGCTTGGGATTCTTTCTCTCCCTCTCTGCCCCTGCCCTGCTTGCACTCTCTCTTTCTCTCCCCTAAATAAACATTTAAATAAATAAATATATATATAAAATTAAGGTTGTAAAATGAACATGTGGGGAAGTCTGTCTCATCACAAGGAAATACCCAGGCGTAGTGTACATCTTTGCAAGGAAGGTCCTCCAGGACACCCCTCCCCTCCGCCCCTCCCCTCCACCCTCCCCTCCACCCCTCCCCAACCCTCCCCATCCCCTCTTCTTCTTCTCCCTCTTCCCCCTCCTCCTCCTCCCCCCTCTCCCCTCCCTGGCTGCCTCTGACCCCTGACGACAGCACCCACGCCATGAGCAAGGACTACGGAACAAAGACCAGAGCTGTGTAGGGGACGGTGCCCTTTGGGTGGGGGGGGCTCGGCTCTGAGAGCCCCCGGGCCCGTATGCCCAGTTGTCTGGCCACAGGCATCTGGCTGAGCCACTCCGTCTCCGTGTTTGGGGAGAGGACGCTTCTGGGAAATGCCGCGTGTCTCCGTGTGAATCCAGCCCCGCGAGGAGCCTCCCTGGCTCAGGATGACAGGTGACGTCTAAATAGCTCTTGACTTGTTATCTCCAAACAGCAGCTTAAACGAGGCTTTTCTCTCCTCCCAGCTGGGAGTACGGCAGCCCCTCCCCGCCTTCACCAAGGACAGCGGCCGGCCGACTGTGGAGAGGGAGACGCACAGCCTATTACTCTTCTGATGTCCCCAGTTGTGACTGAACATCATGTTCCACGGTGTCGGGATGAGGGTCCCGGTGGGGGGGGGGGGCGTCACTGGTTCCCCTGGGGCCAGTCACAAATCTGTGATTCCTTTTTATAAAAAAGCCCGGGTGGCTCAGTCAGCTGAGCATCTGACTCCTTGTTTTTTTATTTTTTTTTTAACGTTTTATTTATTTTTGAGAGACAGAGAGAGAGCATGAGCAGGGGAGGGACAGAGAGAGAGGGAGACACAGAGTCTGAAGCAGCTCCAGGCTCTGAGCTGTCAGCACAGAGCCCGATGTG